CATGGTTGGAGGCGAACCACGGTACACGTCCAACCAACGTTGGAGGCGAACCACGGTACACGCCCAACCATAGTTGGAGGCGAACCACGGTACACGCCCAATCAACGTTGGAGGCGAACAACGGTACATGCCCAACCATGGTTGGAAGCGAACCACGGTAAACGCCCAGCCAACGTTGGAGGCGAACCACGGTACACGCCCAACCATAGTTGGAGGCGAACCACGGTACACGCCCAACCATGGTTGGAGGCGAACCACGGTACACGCCCAACCATGGTTGGAGGCGAACCACGGTAAACGCCCAGCCAACGTTGGAGGCAAACCACGGTACACGCCCAACCATAGTTGGAGGCGAACCACGGTACACGCCCAACCATAGTTGGAGGTGAACCACGGTACACGCCCAACCATGGTTGGGGGCGAAACACGGTACACGCCCAAGCTTGGTTGGAGGTGAACCACGGTACATCTTTAGCTGTACGGTGTCCATAAATAATTTCTAAAGGAATTGTTCAACTGCCGAAATTATCACGCCTCTTATAACGCCTCTTTTTCGCCATTTTTTGTGGGACAAAATCGCCGAGACTCCTACTGGGCTTGTGTCAGCGACAACAAATGTTCCGTTCGTTTTGTCGAAGTATGCCATATATGGCGCAGTGGCGAGTGTGTTCTTTAGCTTCTCAAACGCTGTTTGATGTTTTTGAGTCCACTCAAACCGAGCGTCTTTTTTTGTCAGTTCACGCAGTGGAGTGGTCAGGGTTGCAAAATCTCAAATGTATTTACTAGATAATTAGGCATACGAAGAAGGCTTCTGGTTTCATGCGCATTAGTTGGCTGAGGTGCGTTTGGTAAATCAACGACTCTCTTAAGATCAGGACTACAAACAACATTGGAGATGTTTATTATATATATATATTTATATATATATATTATAATATATATATTATATATATATATATATATATATAATATATATATATAAATATATATATATATATAAATATATATATATACATATATGTATATATATATATATATATATATATATATATATTATATAGATATATGTATATATTGTATATATATATATATATATTATATATTATATATATATATATATATATATATATGTATATATATATATATAATATTATATATATATATATTTTATATTATATATATATATATATATATATATTATATTATATATATATAATATATATATATATATATGTATATATCTAATTGTATGTGTTTGGTTCTTTTGATTCGAGACTCTGTTCGTCACGCCGTTTTTCAATCAAATTTAAGGTCTCGCAAAGCTCGCTTTCGTTTTTTCGATGAATTTTCGCTTATTATTATCTGTTCCTCTATTTCAAAATCAACCGTCTGCGAATTCACATGTTTCTGACATTGTTCTTTGCCTTGTATGGAATTGGTCTAACGTCTCGTTGTTTCCTTGCGTTGCCTGTCTGAATTGAAATACTTCGTACCTAATACCGTCGATTCTTTTGGGGATCGAAATATGTCTTGAATTTTTTGCTTCGCGACGTCGTAATCTGCGTCTGTTCCAGTCTTGTAAATCTCTCGAACTGTAGGTCCGGCTTGGTATAGTAACATACTTGGATACGTAATGTCACTTACAGTTAAATAGATGCATCTTAAAGTCCAAAATGCATCGCCCCTTGTTTTTTTCCGCCAGGGAACTTATGTCGCTTCGGCGGGATCTGGTGAACTCATAAGAATTTGCATATATTTTGGGTTTGTTTCTTTAATAAAGTCGGATGTCCGGATTCAGTCGCTATTGCAACAACTGCTGCGATATCAGTTCGTTTTGTAAGACAAAACAAATAACTTTATGCGTGGATTTATAATGAGCCAGTAAGTTGCGTTAATATCATGTATTTCGTTTAATAGTTGAACCAATGCGACTAAATATATGACTTTAAACAATAAATATATGGAAAGCAATTAAATAGAAGTTATCTTAAAAAATAATGTTCGCCCAGACGCAGTTTACTTGGATCCTATAGGTTGATATCCAGGAACGCAGGTAAAACATGTATTTAGTAACTTTTCTACTAATGGAATAATTATTGACACTACACATTTAATCATATAATATTTAGTAACCTTTCGCAGGCATATGAAATACGATACTACAGTATAATGATTACATGAAACTAAAATAACACGATATTTGACGGGACAGAGTACGACGCTTGTTACAAACAGACATTTATATATTTTTATGATCTGGAACTTCAACCGATAACGTTTTGCAGCGCTTATATACAGGTACTATTTAAACGCCTGGTTTTGAATTGCCAGATTATAAACAAACATATCATAGCAATGACATTTTTCTTCTCATACTCTATGGTAGTGTGTATAATCATATATCTTGTCCTTGATATATTGTTGTTGACGACTAAAGTTGTTATGTTTGTATGTATATTATAGAAACGATAATAAGTTCATATTTAAATTCCCCTACTTATTCAATAGCATTTGTTCAACATATTATAAAACAATTTTTAAATGGTTCCAAAATTTTGACGCCTGTTCTGGCGTAACTCCGGCGTAGCGCGTGCATGTGCCAGTCTTCAAAGCTTCTCAACATAAACAATACAGTTCATATCATTTAGATGCCTTGCGAACCTAAATGTTGTTCGATAGCCAAATTTCAGAAGCACATCGTACTTTAAAAACTATAGAAGTTCAATTGTTCAAAAATGTAAATAAACCGCATAATACATTCACTTTGTCTTACACTTTGCGTTTGGAATTCGCGCTTATATAGTTATATCAAATCTTCAATCCTGTGCAAACCGCGACGTGTCAACGCAGAAATAGCAGCAATATTATTAAAATAGGACAGAATATATATGTATTAAATATATTCTCACCCAATTAAATCTAAATATAACGAACAGCATCAAAAGAACCGTTTATTTGTTCCTCTTGGAGGAATTGCCGTATCATATGCGAGCGAAATCGATTCGCGCATCGGAAAATTAGCCAAAGCTGTGCACCACGTCTCAGTGGGAGACAAGACTGCATGTGACGTAGATAATTATGGTCTGATACACATTTCAAAGACTAGTATTTTCGCGCCAAAACACACTTGCGACGACCAAAAATAAAAAAAAACCAAGGCGAATTTTCAACTCCGTCGCTCACGCCGGAGTAATAACTGCGTAGTTAATCTATTACATTATTATGTCTAAAATTGGGCGAGATTGAAACCTGTCAAAACAATATCGACATTTAAAAACAAAAACTATAAATTTTAATTATCAGTGTTTTTTTTGATGAATCGCGCAATATGATTGGTTGCTTGCTGACATGCAGGTCCCGGTTTCGTTACTTTACTGATCTGTCAGGATCTGCAAACGTACAGATTAATTTCAATGCAATATTTAGTATAATATTCTCTTATTTATGATAATCAACATACAAAATTAATAAATCCCAGTTTAAGTGTTACGTATTCGCCCTCAGTGTTATCGACTCATCTCTCAGGGAGGTATATATTGTCCCTCATTATATCTTATGTGTGTGTCTAGATATCATGTTACATGATGACGTAACTATACATTTAAGAAGTAGTTAACCCTAATTTGGGTTTTAAGGTTTTATTCTTGATATTCAAGGCTGTTCGTCTACTCCCCGCGCTCGAAACACTTCACCTCCCAAATCCCGATCAGTAGTTAGTTAATAGTTAATCAATAGTTAAAGAGAGCAAAAATTATGCGTGCATGGGGTGAGAAATTGACAATTAAAAGACATGCATTGGCAACATTTTGACGAACCCTCAAATTACTTCTAAGATCATGTTACGATTATTTTAAAGCTTGCTCGTTATAGTGCAGTTTGGAGGGTGTATTGGAACATCTCCGCGGCAACGTTAGATCCGTAGTAGAGTCTCTTGTATCGATACAATCCTACTTGCATGCATCCTAACCTGGCCGTCTTTTTTGGAATTGCCACAATTGGAAGAACCCATGGTGTTGCTTCGTTTTCCGGAACTTCCTCAATGATATCAAGCTCTAGCGCGTTTTTCACTTTTTCTCTAATATTATATGGTGTACGCCGTTTGTGGTTGTGCTTTCGGAGTTTGGGTTTTATTAAAGTCTAGTTTAATTTTCCGGCTATAAAGCAATTTAGAGTGCTTATGAATGATGTTTTCAAGTGCTGTATCCTTTACTGGTGTGAGTTTGTCTATATGCAAGCTAACATGTCCGAGGTCTTGGGCCGTGGAAAACGAAAGTAAATTTCCACTATTTTCTCCTTTTGCTACGTAAAATGTTGCCACCAAAGAAATCCGCTTCCGTGTTTCTATATAACCGCTTCGAATTTGCCTAAAAATTAGACTGGTGATTCCGTATCGTATGTAGGCAAAAGCTTTCGTGCTTGTGCGATTTAATGTTATGGCTCAGCTTACCGTTACATTGACTTTGTTATTGCATGTCTTTCCGATCCAATATAAATAGCCATCGTCCGAAGACTTTCATTCTGGTCTAATGTTTTTAGATTCTTCGGCTTATTACTATATTAATTCTGGCTGTATTTTGATCTATATATGTTTATTTGTTTTCCCCCACAAACATGGGCGATATATATAATATATATATATATATATATATATATTAATATATATATATATATATATATGTAATATCTATCTGCGTTTGTTCCAGTCTTGAAAATCTCTCGCACTATCTCCAGGTCCGGCTTGGTATAGTAACATAGTTGGATCTGTAATGTAACTTGCTGTTAAATACCTGAATCTTAAAGTCCATAATGCATCGCCCCTTGTTTTTTCCGCGAGGGAACTTATGTCTCTCTTGCGGGATCTCGTGCATGACCTTATAAGAATTTGCATATTTTGAGTTTGTTTCTTTAATGAAGACGGATGTCCGGACTCAGTCGCTATTGCAACAACTCTGCGATACCAGTTCGTTTTGTAAGAAAGAACCATTGTGTATTTCATTTAATAGTTGAACCAATGCGACTAAATATATAACTTTAAACTAAATATATGGAAGGCAATTAAATAGGAATTATCTTCAGAAAATAATATTCGCCCAGACGTAATTTACTTGGATCCTATACGGTTGGTATCACAGGAACGCAGGTAAAACATATATTTAGTAACTATAATGGAATAATAGACAGTATACATTTACATTGTATAATATTATATATAGTTACCCTTGTCGCAGGCCATATGAATTACGATACTATACTCTATAGCATAATGATTATATGAAACTAAAAATAACACGATATTTGACGGGACAGAGTACAACGCTTGTTACATACAGACATTTATATTTTTATGACCGTGGAACTTCAACCTCGATAACGTTTTGCAGCGCTTATATGGACTTAATATTTAAACGCCTGTTTTTGAATTGCCAGATTATAAACAAATGTATAATAGCAATGGCATTTTTTCTTTTCATACTCTATGGTAGTGTGTATAATCATATATCTTGTCCTTGATTATATTTGTTGACGACTAAAATTGTTAGCTATGTTTTGTATGTATATTTTAGAAACGATAATAAGTTCATATTTAAATTACCCTGCTTGTTAATAGCATTCGTTAAACATATTATACTAAAACAAATTCTAAATGATTCCAAAATTTTGAACTCTGGAAAGTTTTAAACTGATAATAACTGCGTAGTTAGTCTATCACATTATTATGTCTAGAAAATTGGGCGAGACTTGAAGGCCTGTCAAAACAATATCGATACAATTTAAAAACAAAAACAATAAAATTTTTAATTATCAGTGTTTGTTTTGATGAATCGCGCAATATGATTGGTTGCTGACATGCAGGTCCCGGTTTCGTTACTTTACTGATCTGTCAGGATCTGCAAACGTACAGATTAATTTCAATACAATATTTCGTTAAATATTCCCTTATTTAATGATAATCAACAATACAAAATTAATAAATCCCAGAATAAGTGTTACGTATTCGCTTTCAGTGTTACCGATGCTCTCTGTATATATATATTGTCCCTTGCTATATCTTATGTTTGTGTCTTTTTAATTATCATGATACATGATGACATAACTACTACATTTAAGAAGCAGAAAAAATCTTATAGAAATAAGCCGAAAAGTTCACTGATAGAAAATAAGGCGAAAAGAATATAAACCTTAAAACCCAAAATCTGTGAGTGACAATTAATGTTGGGGAGAAACAATTCCAGAAACTGTGATTAAGACAGTAAAAATTATGCGTGGGGTGAGAAATTGACAAGACATGTATTGGCAACATTTTGAAGAACCCTCAAATTACTTCTAAAATCATGTTACGATTTTTTTATACAGTAGCTTGCTCGTTTCTTAATAGTTTGGATGAAAGAAAGATAAATTTAAACCGTACATTTGCGACGGGAATGTGCAACAAAACTGGGAGATGCAAAACGATAGCAAACGAAGTTGGCTTGTGGCTCTCGGGTCATTCTTTCTTGTTGGAATTGCGATTGGAATATCAAATTCTTTTGGTGTTTTGTTCACAAGCTGGACGGGAGAATTTCAAGAAAAGAGAACAAAAATTGGTATGTAGCACAAAGTAAATGAATTAAGTACTAAATTAATAACGACATTTCTTTATGAATATATTGTATATTATTTGAAGAGAAAAGAAAAACAGGTGTTCTTTCTTTATTAAAAAGCAGGCATTTTTTATATTGTCCCTGATCTTGTAAAAATTCAACAAGCACCATCTTTGAAAATATTCGGTCTGGTGTAACAAAAAATGTTTAATAAAACTCAAAGCCATTGTTTTCAGCCGTATTAAAAATGTGGTGCTATTTTAAACATTGACAGGGGGGGGGTGATCATGAAGAATAAAATCTAAAATTTGAAATTTTGTGATAAAAGTTCACAAAAATAAAAAATGAAATCTATTTTGTGAACTGAACCAAGAATCCTGAGATAGACCGCTTCAAAGCTTGTCCTTAATAGATCATTTGTGCTGAGTTCAATCCCTCCTTTTCCCTTTAATATTAACACCCCCCCCGGCGATCATCACATCTGCGGCACGTTGTATGTGTATATATATATATATATATATATATATATATATATATATATATATATATATATATATATATATATTTGAAGTAATTTACTATTTCTTAATCAGCGCTAACTATATATAATTATTTTCGTTTATTCAGCCTGGATTGGTTCCTTTCATTTCATTTGGTACATGTGTTTATGTCCAGCATGTGGTATCTTAACTCGGTATTTCAGTTTTCGACCAGTTGTCGTCCTAGGAAGCACTCTCTTTTGTCTTGGTCTACTACTCAGTTCATTTGTGAAGGACATTCCGCTGTTCTACTTAACATATGGCATAATATTTGGCACTGGGACATGCATGTTATATATGTCAAGCATAATAGTTTTGCCATTTTGTTTCCAAAGAAATTTAGCCGCAGCAACTGGGGTGGTAACTTCGGCAAATGGCGGTTTCACAATGTGGTGTGGACCGGTGTACGAATATCTAATACGACATTACGGATGGCGTGTCACATTAAGAATATTTTCATTATTTTTCATTCCCTTACTGTTTGCGTGTGCCCTGTTCCCGAGCAAAAAAACAAATACCTCGTGAAAAGAAAAATGACTTAAACATCAGGAAATCGTTTGGTAGAATGTTGAGAAATAAAGGATTTCTACTTTGGGTGTTTCTGATGACATTGGTGTATCTTGGACTCTTTGTTCCTCAGATGCATTTGGTAAGAATGTGCTTATGCGCTAATAAATATAACAAAACGATGCACTTAATATAGCAGCTGCTAAAAATCTAAGAAAAATAGATGAAAGCCAAGAAGATGCGGAATATTACCGGCATCGTTATCGTCTGACGACTTCAATAATTTCAAAAAATTAAATCCGAGACAGAAGCTAACGTAGGTTCTTCGTTTTTCAGAAAGATTTTTTTAAAAAGATTTATGCTACTTTCTACAAGGAAACTCGCCATTTCACAACTCACTTCACGTTTCTATGATTAATAATTTTTTATTTATCACTAATTATTATATTTCTTTTTCTCAAATCTTTCTCATTCTTTTAGATGTCGTTTTGTAAAGATGTTGGCATACCAACTTACATAAGCGTATACAACATTACCTTAATGTGTGGCATGGAGACTGCTGGAAAGGTTATCTCAGGAAAATTGGTTGATAAACTTAACTGGAGTGTTCATACCTATAATATTCTAGCTATATTAATTCTGGCCGTATCAATAACTTTGCTACCTTTGGCGAAGACGTCAACTCATATGTTCACTTTTTCTATTTTCTTTGGATTTGCTCTGGGAGTCCAGTCATTGTGTGTCATCATCATAACTCCTGAAGTGTCCCACCCGGATGACGCGAAGCACGCAGTGACTTATTTATTTGGGGCTCTCAGTATACCGGGGGGCATCGGGCCAGTTTTAGCAGGCAAGTAGTAATATGTTATATTTTGTGAAAATCAGCTTTGTTTGTCGTAAAAAAGCAGGTGGATGGGAACTGATAAAATGACTTCATCGTTCAGGTGGCAGTGCTTCATTTAATCGAAGATAAAAAAAAACTAAATGCACATACCGCAAAAATAATTTATATAATGTGAAAACTCCTAAATAAATTAAGACAGAGCCAAAAGGCACTGCATGACAAACGTCAAAGCGTCCTTTAGAATTTGGGACGTATTCCGATCACAGTGCACAAATCTACTAGGAAATTTTCCTTGTAGCTTAATTACGCAGAGCTAAGAATCCATTTTGCCCATTTTGTACATGCAGTTTTTCCACACATGAACAAACATTTTTTAACGAGGACTTCAGCCGTTTTTCAGAAGCTAAAATATTTTTCAATCAATTTTAGCATGGATATTCGACGTCACCCGCTCATATCGTTTAGCATTTTTCATTTCTGGGGGATTCTTCGCTTGTGCTGGTTGTCTTGCGAACCTGATTCAACTGATAACCTCTAAGACTACAAACGGCAGTTTGGTATTTGATTCGAGTGTAAAAGAGGGCGATAGCGAAGGCGTGGAAATAGATGAGAACCGGTGTTGATTTTTGCACAAATCATGCAGGTCAAGTCGAAGTTACCAGATCACAAACAAACGTAATCTTGACTTTTGTTGTTAACCCGTTTCAATAATTTTGGATACAAAAAGGCTAGTCAAAAGGTTCACCCAAGGTCATTGGCGTGGGCTGTTTAGTGCTGCGCACGCGCTAAATTTGAACGAGTAAAGATTGGTAAAAAGTGACCTGATTGCCAAAAAATTAATTTAATGCGAACTCAACAATGTAATTACCATTTCCCCAATTTCTTTCGACTGCAGTGTTTTATCATTTTTCTTTTTAGAAAAATGAGGAAAATGATAAAAAGCTGAATCAAAATTTAAACTTCGCTATATCAAATTAATAGAAGGCTTGAATTTCAATGGTATGTCATTTCGCATGCAGACATGAGATGCAGTGACTATGTCAATAAACCCAGTGGGGGATCTAGGAGTGTGCAAAATAAATCACTTTCACTTGAAACAGTTTTAGATACGTTCCAACATAACCAGGGAGCAGCGTTTTCAATTTTATTTTATGACATGAGCGTATTGGGCATGGCTATAGATGAGGAAATGGGGAGGCGACTTGGTATTAATGTATTACTATAATTATACTGCAGTACCTGTGTCATATTTTCGGTGTCTTCAAATTCACATTGAGAAAGTATGCCCCGGACCCCGAGTAACCAGCATGATGGTCCTTATCATTTACGCACTTACGTGATTATCAGCACGGCACTGCTATAATGCATAAAATGCGTTTTTTCACTGTAGAATATACTCGTAACTCCGAGTATTTCGAAAAGTCAAAATAACGAAATTTTAGAGCCATTTGAAAGCCCCAAAGTTCATATGTCCATGGTAAAAAGGAAACTGAGATGCGGTGATAAATACCTCCACTGAGGTGTATTTCCCACCCAAATTCTGGTGGGTTGCCTGGCACACAGTTCCTGCGTTAAACACTGACTAAGTTGCGTGATCGCTGTGCTTCTCACGTAATCCCTAAGCGCTCTGGGTGAGTCGGCAGAATCACAATCAAACTTTGACTTAAAGTCTCGTTCAATTTTCATATATTATCTGTATATAAGCGTACAGCGTGGCTATATCTATTTGTCTAATGTTGGATGTTTTTAGTACACACATGGCGTAGAAAACCAGAAACCTGTGTAAGTGGTGCACCCGGAGTTATGTCCAGCATGTGGTATCTTAACTCGATATTTCAGTTTTCGACCAGTTGTCGTCCTAGGAAGCACGCTCTTATGTCTTGGTCTACTACTCAGTTCATTTCTGAAGGACATTCCACTGTTCTACCTGACATATGGCGTAATATTTGGCACTGGGACATGCCTGTTATATATGTCAAGCATAATATAGTTTTGCCATTTTGTTTAGCCGCAGCAACTGAGGTGGTAACTTCAGCAAATGGTGGTTTTCCAATGTGGTGTGGATTGGCGTACGAATATTTAATACGAAATTACGGATGGCGTGTCATATTAAAAATGTTGTCATTATTTTTTCATTCCCTTACTGTTTTCGTGTGCCCTGTTCCCTAGCAAAAAGCAATTACCTCGTGAAAAGCAAAATGACTTAAAGGTCAGGAAATCGTTTGGTAGAATTTCTACTTTGGTTGTTTCTGATGACATTGGTGTTTCTTGGACTCTTTGCTTCTCAGATGCATTTGGTAAGGAAATGATGCGAGGGATGTGTGCAAAGTCTATTACATCATAAAACTGACTACCTCCTACCTACTAGGGCGGTGATCCCTAGCGCCTGCGGAGGAGGTAGTAAAACTGAAATCTCGTTTAAAGAAGAAGAAAAACTTGAGTTCTTTGCTTAAAGTTATTGAAACCACCATGTTTAATTACTATCTATTTTCACTTTCAAATGTTCTTCTAGATATCGTTCTGTAAAGATATTGGCATAACTTACATGAGCGAATACAACATTACCCAACATTACAGCTGGAAAGTTACTTTTGGGATAGATGATCGATAAACGCAAATGGAGTGTTCATACTTATAATATTTTGGCACTATTAACCCTGGCCGTATCCGTAACATTGCTACCTTTAGCAAAAACTTCAACTAATATATTTTTCTTTTCAATTTTCTTTGGTCTTGCCTATGGAGTTCAGTTATTGTGCGTCATTATTATAACTCTTGAAGTGCCCCACACGGATGACGTGAAGCACGCAGTGACTTACTTATTTTGGCTCCTCAGTATACCGGGGGGTGTCGGACCAGTTTTAGCAGGTGAGCAGTAGTTTACAAAGGTTTATATAATTCGTTTTAAAACAGTCATCAACTATAAAACCTCAACTACAACAAAAACTACAGGTTCACAACCAAGGTTTTTAGAGAGATAAATCTGAGGAATGGATTGCAATGTATTTAGTGGGTTTGCAACATTACACCTAACCTTAAAACTATAATACACGCAGCGGGGGCGTTTAGGGAACCTGCATTGTCGAGGCTGGCTGAATTTTGGAACATTTTTACATGCGAATAAGAAACATTTCAGGAGTTTGGAGTGATTTTAGTTCGTCCTTTTTCGACCTTTCATACTGTAATTGTTATTTCGAAGGGCTAATTAAAAATCTCTCAATTTATATAAATTGAAATTTAACGACGCCTTTTGTAAATGGCGAGTTGCTAAAATCTAAAATAGTCCTTCATCAATTACAGCATGGATATTCGACGTCACCCGCTTTTATCGTTTACCATTTTTTTATTTCAGGGGGATTCACCGCTTGTGCTTGTTGCAGGGGCGCCGTGGCCGGGGGGCCAGGGGGGGCCATGCCCCCCCCCCCAGGATTAAAACCTGTCGGGAAATTTACGAACATTGCATGTTGTCGGAGTATATCAATCATAACAGAGACTAAGCTATTTTTGCATTTGTGGCTGTGTTATGCTGAACAACCCAAAAGTATTTGAACTATCAGAAAATAGACGCGGTTATTTCTAATATTATACAGTACGACACTACCCCAATTTTTATTATACTGTTGTCGCGCAGGCTAAACTAGCTGTTTCTTCCGAACGTTTCCGGTTTCCGATAAACATATTTTCTATTAATATAACATTACGCAAGGGATGTAATTTTCGAAATGTCGGAGATTGGTGCGATAAAATCATGAATGGCGATGTATCTTCGACCGCATTTGTTGTTCAGTGAGTTTATACAGTTTATTGCATTATATGGTGACCATCTAAAGAAACACCAGCATGTTCCGTATCAGAATGCTGGAGCTACAGCAAATCCTTTTCAAGTTAGTACTTTTAGTCAAACGCTTCCTGACATACAAAGATAAGGTACCACGATAGTACAGCAGAAGAACTAAACTGATGAGAGGATTGAAGCAATTGCGAATATGTTTATATTTTGGTTATAAACAAATGTTGCGTATAGAATACGCTGTATGCTCATTCAGAGAGATTACAAAGCTATAATAGAGTATCGTGAAATAACGTATCGCGTTATTTGTTAATGCACGTGGATTAGAAATCTCTGTAATACAGTTTTCCCACAAACAGTTAACTGTATCAAAAATTATTCTTCTACTCAATTGAAAAGCGTATGTAAAACGTGAATATTTATCTGTCATTTTATTGTGCATGAAGCGTCAATTTAAATTAGTAGACGTAGCTCGTGATCTTTGTCATAGCAAATGCATGCGCGTCCTTGCCCAAAACCCCCTGTCAGTTTTATCAATATTCGTTACTTTTTTCTTATAAAGATGTCGGGAAAAAAACGTGCTGGTCGGAATAATGTTGCCTTTGGCCACCCCTACATTAGCACACCCACGGCGCCCCTGGCTTGTTGTCTTGCAAAACTAATTCAACTGATAACCTCAAAGACTACAAACCGTAGTTTGGTATTTGATTCAACAGCAAAAGCGCATAATATTGATGCCATGGAGATTAAAGAAAACGGGTGTTGATTATCTGCCGAGGCAACTTTGCTTGCTGAAACCTATAGCAAGTTGCTGAAGATTGAGAATGTCCATGTTCTGGGGGGGGGGGGGTTGTTCAGCACAACATGGTTTCATTAACTGGCAACAACTTAAGTGGGATTTTTGCCTAAAGGCTACGTTTGAATTGCCCTCAACTTACATTGTTCCTTCTTAAGCCCATTGGTTGTGCCCCAAAATATTGTGCTTTGGAAAGTTTAAAAAATAATAACAGTGTAGTTAGTGTATTATAGTATTATGTCTAGAAAATTGGGCGAGGCTTGGAACCTATCGATCAATGGTGGATCTAGCCAGGGGTGTGCAGAATAAATCTCTACAACTTAAAATCGTAATCACATTGACAGATTTTAAGGCAAAAATATTCTTTTCAAATCTATGACCACTTGTGTTGTTATAAAGGTGATTTGAATTTAAAATTAAGCTGTGTAATTTATTCTGCACACCCGTAGATCCGCCACTTTTGTCAATGGCAATGTCGATGAATAGATTAATATGAATATAATAATACAATTATACACCCCCACTTAAGCGGTCTATAGCTATTAATAGTAGCCACGTCCCTGATTTACATTGAATATTTCATTGAATTCAATGCATTTCAAGTACGTTCTGCTGTTATCATTAGCAACATTATACCTTTTCTATCTACCTAGTGGTTTTTGAATTACATTTTAAAGAAATTTGATGCACCAAAAAAGCGAGGAATTCTGACATAAACATTGTCACGCGATGTGGATATCCTCAGTAATCATCGTCTGTAATCCGATTTGGTATGTAGAATTGTGGGAGCGAATGCAGAATACCCCGCAATTTCTTAACGATTCTTAAATAACATGAATATGGATACGCAGTGAGTTAGTTAATACGTTAAGATAACGGGGCAGGTTAAAATAAAATGTAAAATTATACAGGTAAGCTTAAGGAGATTAATATATGACGTAATATATATGAATGTAGATAAAAGTCTTGAGTGGTACGTGGATACGCTGTGATAAGCAGTCGTTTGTTATTATGAATGTAGGCAATATGGCAGGATATAAATTTATTTAATCAACACTTGATTTAGGGACCGCGGAAGATCGTTTAGGGGGGGGAAATATTCATCTATTCACGTTAGCCGAGCGTAGAAAGTTAAAAACAGTCAATTTCAATAGAAACTAATAATGCCGAACTGAATATATGAATATTATTGCCTCCTCGACTTCACCTGGCATTTATCTGTGCTAAACTGCATATCAGTGTATATATAAAGCTAGAAGTTTATTTACAAATCGAAAACTAAATAGGATTGCATCGATTGATCACGGAATCACGAGAAAGTACAAAGGAATGACGTAATCAAACATCAACTAGACACTAGTCCTATACTCTACATTATGATCTAAAAACTTTCGCTATTCTTGGTCTAGGTAGTCTACGCATAGACGGAATATGGCGGAAATACCGTCTATGTAACAGCGCCAAATTCCGTGTTCTATAATTATTTATCCCCCAGAATCTGGGGGACGCTGTG